CGTCTCTTCTACTGAGCACACGTAGGCGTTAGCAAAGAGGACACCGAGTGGTGACCCCATTGCCACGCCGTTGATTTGCTTGTACAGCTGTCTCTATACATTCTCTAAATATGTATAGAGAAGTCTTTGATTGAGACAATAATCATCCCCGAGCAATACTTTCTTCATCTTTTTTTTTTTGCACCTGTAGTCACACGCTTCTCAGTTTTAGGAGTGGTTAGATCAGTAGCACAGACCATAGCATAGACCTCTGTATACAGAGGCTATGGTAGCACCTAATTCGATACTCATCCTATCATATTTTAAATGAGCTGTATCCTGTACCGTAGGTGGTTTCAACTCTTGTCTGTCTGAAGCTCTGATGGGATAGATTGCATGCATAATACCTGGTAGAGAAGCATCACATGGTACTTGGTAGAGAGTGACCCTTCCTTTCTCATCCACTTCACCACAGCGAAGTATCCATCACCGGGACTAAATCATATGTAAATGTAGCAATGCATCTGTATAGGGGACCGTTCGGTCCGGTCGAATCACGGGGACGATAACACGCAGCTACAGTGGTCCTAGTCCCTCAGCGCCTGATTACGATTCAGCAGGCGCCTCGAAACGGTACCGTTGCAGCAGGTGACTGCACACCCCCACTCTGCCACAGGGGGACTCATGTGACATCCTGAATGCTTCTGAGAATTCATGCATCGCCTGCTGCTCCTCGATACAGCACGCGCTGCAGGAGACGGTGCAAGGCGGCGCGAGGTGGCGCAGGGCGGCGAGATGGGGTCACGGGGCCAGAACAAGATCCCCAGACCCTGTCCTCTTTCGCCGGGACGGTCCTGCGACCCTGAGACACATCAAACCCTTCAATCGGCCCACTCTGTCCTTACTTCGCCTTGCCGTCGGAGTGCAGGTGCGCTGGAGACACTTACGGTCACAGGACACTTAGTCATCTGACCTCTGAATTTAATGAGATTCGCTGAGGCGATGCGTGTGCGTATCCGAGCGGCCACGGTATCGCCTTTTGTGCAAGGTCGGGGTGTTATATGGGGCTTTGGGGACGACAGTGGCAGAGTTCACGTGATTCGCACCCACCTCTCCCCCAGCTGTTTCTCTGGACGCTGACCTTGACTACGGTTTGGGAAGCCCGTTTGAGGTGTCGCGAAGTCCGGATATATCAGAGTACTTAGCTTCTGCTTACATATATCTCGGGTCTTATGTGACAAAACACGACTTAGAACGGGAGACATTCAGGTAAACGCCGGACAGACCAGAGATCACTACATGGGTAGGGCCGGCCAATATAACACCGGCTTGGGGCGAGGAAGTGAGAAGGTCTGATAGAACTGCCGAGTCCACAATGCAGTTGGAAACAGGTGGTGAACTGATTGTTCTGCGACTTTGCTTTTGACCTTGCAACTTGCATCCTGATCGGCACTCGAGAGAGATGACTCTCAATAGTTTGCAGCCTTGCAACCAACGTAATAATTTGATTATCTAGCATCTCAACTAAATACGCTTATGATTTCATGCAATTCATTACACGACAAAATAAACTATAAAGTGACGTAAGCCAACACTTTCATTTTCGTTGATAAAACACGAAGGTTCTCTACTTCAAGGCGGCACAAAAGCGCTCAGACCACTTTAAAATGCTCCACCAACGTTTAGCGCTAGCCGTGACAACACGTGAGGTGTAGGGTCATCCCGCAATTACCTCATCGTACCCACTCCGTTTAACCGGTGTGTGTGTGTAGGAGGGGGAGGGTTGATAAGCGTCTGGTGACGTAGTTCTCACAGAACAGCTCAAACTCGGTGAAGCTGTGAAAATTTCGACTGGAACAGAGAAGCGGCTCATCTTGTTTGTTATGAAGGTGACAATTTTTTGTACTTATTAATCATATTAGGCAGGGATGCGGAGCCGTGAAAATTTCAGACGGCTCCGGCTCCGGCTCCGGCTCCGGAGAAAAAAAACTCGGCTCCAGCTCCGGCTCCGGCTCCGGGTGAAATGCCATGGCGGCTCCAGCTCCGGCTCCGGCTCCGAGTAAAATGGTCCGGCTCCGGCGGCTCCGGCTCCGATTCCGACTCAGTACATCCCATATGCGCAGGGATGCGGAGCCGTGGAAATTTCAGACAGCTCCGGCTCCGGCTCCGGCTTCGGAAAAAAATCGGGCTCCGGCTCCGGCTCCGGGTGAATGGTTACGGCGGCTCCGGCTCCGGCTCCGGGCAAAATGTGCGGCTCCGGCGGCTCCGGCTCCAGCTCCGGCTCCAGCTCCGGCTCCGGCTCCGCGCCCCTGATAGGTGCGATTGTGAAATGCAAGCGTTTAACCCGCGACCTGGTGGGGGGGGGGGGCTATTTTTTGCCTCCCCTCCAGACTTTTCGATATATCTCCAGGACCGCTGCGCCGATCGTCACCAAACTTTCAGTACCCTCCCGGACATCACTTTTACACATTGTGACCAAAAATTTTTCCAACAGCTATAATAGGTTGGCCGGAAATGACGTCAGAGTGACGTCATGTTCTGCCGTTTTCGACCCAAAAAAGGGTTTCGCGGGAAGAGCTGTCAGGCCTATAGCTTTGCAAATACAGAAAAATGATAAAGACATAAAAGCTGTAGATTGAACAGGGCTACAAAACTACCATCTCGGATTTTTGAAATTTTTGGATTTTGACCCCTAAAAATCAATAAATAGATTTTTTGGATATAATAATCGAAAAATAAAAAAAAATTGAATTTCGCAAAAACCGGAATACATGTGATAGTCCTTACCGCCTTCCATCCACATACCAAATTTGAGATTGATACCTCTTGTTTTGGCGAAGTTATAGCGAAAAAACTGTTCAAAATTGATGACGTCAAATTTTCAAACTCAATTTTTAGCAATTCTAGACCCCGTAGCGCAAAACAAAGACCACCATTAGACTCCCCGTGACAAGCTGCATCGAATCAATACCAATTTTATGCAAAACTATCAACTTTAAAATTTGACCTTTTTGGCATGACCTTGACCTGACCTTGACCTGAACTTCACCAGAGAGTGACCTAAGCCGTACCTGATAGTCTTATAACCAACACCATTGAGTAGGAAATGAAAAATTGGACATAAAACATGTATCACACAACCTTAGTAAAGTTGGGCTCATGTGACCTGACCTGTGACCCTTGGTGACCTGACCTGTGACCTGACCTGGTATTGCTAGTGACCTCTAATAGCAACATATCTACTAAGCAACTGACGCCTTACCGCTGATTCTCGAAAAAATGCGTTTTCCTCGGTGTTATAGCGCATTCCCTAGAAGACCCGTGAACGGTGAAACATTTCATCTTTGACCTGACCTGTGACGTCATCGGTGACCCCGAGGTGAATGAAATTTGGTTTCCTTCGACAAATTTGACAGGCCTTTCGAACGCCGTTTGAATTTTGCGGATCCGTCCAGTAGTTTCGGAGATACGAGGGGGGCAAAAAATAGCCCCCCCCCCACCAGGTCGCGTTATAAACAGACCCCACCAGGGCGCGGGTTAATAGCACAGAACAAATACTAATTAAATGAGAAATACAAAAAGCTACAAAATGGCACACACATGCAGCATTTCTGGTAAATATGTCAGAAAAAAATATAGACCAATTAGTTTCATACAATGCTTGATGAACTTTCCGTATGCTTATTCTGTTGCCATGCCAAGTCAGGGAAGTTTCTTAATCCAGGGCAGATAAATGCAAATACATCTCTTCCTAGTTCCTACTACCTGAAATTTCCCGTGCTTTCCTTTTGAAGACATGAAGGATTACGGGGAATCCACTACGAAACTCCAAAAACCAGTTGTTGATGCATAATTTTAATGAAACATTTTCTATCGTGCCATAAGTGATGTGACCGCATCATGACCATGACATAGGCACTATGACCGCTACAGAAGACTTCAAAAAGGTAAACCGGTAGCTCACATCACTGCCTGCCGCAGGCACCTACCACCGTTTTGGTGACATCACTTTGGTAGCTCAGTGTAGTGTGTTGCATTGTGCGAATTCGGAACTATCACTCAGTTCCCGACGACCAAAACGAAAAACAGGAATAAAAACTTTTCAAAGGGAGTTACTTTCCATGCATGTCCAGAATGCGCGCGGCTAAGTCATGGGACACAGGGAAATGAAATGTGTTGTCCTACGAATAAGACACCCATTCGCTTATATAATAACACCCTTACTCGAATTAGATAATGAGACCCCTTTTCGCGAATAAGTCCCTTACTTGATTTAATTCAGCACAAGTTGAATTGTCAATTTAATTCAGCAAAAGTTGAATTAACTAGAAAATCGGCTTGTTTGATCCGTTCACCCCTATTTGTTAGATAACTTTCGCATTTATAAAGCTAATATTTTCAGATAAAACAGTAGCTATGGCAAGAACGCCTGACACCAAATATCAAATGTCATTCTGCTTACCGTGGCCAATGAGTCCACCGAGTGCTTACATAAATATCTACTTTTGAGCCAATCACTGTACGATGCATAAATCAGCGCTGTTATTGAAGGACAGTAATCGATGATGGCCAAATACTGATGTGAATCTATGTGCTATATTTGGAACAATGTTTATCCCCGGCTCCCTCATGCTGAACACAGACATACACCTCAAGCAACCAATCGTGTCGGTCAGTGCATGGCGAAAACATATAGCAAATTTGGCTTTTTATCCAAAGTGGTCAGGCGCCTTCGTTATTTTTCTTCTTCAAATATGTTATTTGTTTGTTTTCGTGCCGATTGCGCCATGTTGTTGGCCCCACTCTCGTATGCAACGGTTGGACGGTTATCAGGTGATCGGTGCGCCAAATATGCGAGTCAGTTCTGAGCATTTTTGGCACGGTGAGTACCTACGGGCTAGTCTCGACGGACATGCGGGAAGGCTTCGATGGGCTAGGCTGAGCTGCTCGCAATATCAATCGGCTTCGTTTACGCAGTTCTCTGTCTGCACACATGCGCCTGTCGCATTGAAAATTCAGCGTTGTACGATTCAGTTTTATTGCGAGATTCCCATCACACTCACACGAGCCTCTTTTCAGCTTCAGTTGTAGACAGATGATGGACATATTGCTGCAAGCTGTGATTTTTTTGTTGTTGTTGTTTTCATACATAGACGTCTAACGGACGTTAGAAAAGGAAAATATGAATCATGACCCAAAACGACAATGCGGAGCGAAGAAGTAAGCGGTAAACAGTGTTAGAACACATAAATACGAGCAGTTTGACACATGGTATACAATCGTTCACACTGCGGTCACACATGGATAAACATATGAGTCAGTCAAGTACACATATTGCATGGTTCACATCGTCAACAAGAGGCCACAATGAAGCCGACGCCAAGGAGTGTAAACTTCCTTTTGCATGCAACACGCAGACAAAAGTCTAAACGTGTTGCTGGCGGGCTGACAGAAAAAGCCATCGGTAGTGGTCGCAGACGCTCGATAACTGGCTTCAGGACGACTTGGGTCCTGGGCTCCCTGACTTCAGACAAGCAGTCAGCACCACTCCCGTTTATGACACTGCTATCACACTCTGACGTCAGAGATGACGTCACCGACTTGCACGCGGCCGCGGCTCGGCCGGTCCGACCGCCGACGATTGTACAGAGTGGGTGTCGGTCCCGCACGCGCACTGAAGACAGCCTGGACGCGCCCGCTCGGCGCCTAAATGCCGCACCAATGCCGTCTCGGGGCCAGGCCATCAGCCGCTACGGCTGCCCCCTCCCTCCCCGTCCCTTGCGCCCACTCGCCTCCCAAAGCTATTGACCAAGTCCCTTAGCATCACCTCACAGACGAACCGCGGCGATGACGGCCGCGACGAGCGCCGTCAGCGCGGTCGGCCGGAGACCTGGCCCGCCGCCGCGCTGCCGCTGCAGCAGCGCGATCTCCTCCTCCAGCAGCTTCTTGTGCAGCTCGTCAAGCAGCTCGTGCTCGTCGTGGTCGTCGTAGTAGATGTCCTCTTCGTCCTCGGGTCGTCGCAGGTAGACGGTGCGACCGTAGCGAGCCTGCAGCGTCCGGTAGTTGTGCCCGATCGGCAGCTTCTCGGTGCGCTTCAGCGAGCGGAACAGCTCCAGCTGGGGAGGGGAGGGGAGAGAGAGTCAGCAACGGCAAGATACATTGATATCGGAAAGGGATATAGCAAAAAAAAGGAAGAAGAAATCAGCTCATCAGGAAGTCTGGAAGATTCGGGGAGATTGGGGAAGGCATAGAAGAGAGAGAGAGAGAGAGAGAGAGAGAGAGAGAGAGAGAGAGAGAGAGAGAGAGAGAGAGAGAGAGAAAGAAAGAAAGGAAGAAAGAAAGAAAGAGAAAAGAGATGGAGAGAGAAGAAAGAAAAAAGAATAGAGCGAGACTTACAGAGAAAAGAGACAGAGACAGAGACATAGACAGGACAGAGACCGACAGAGGGAGAAGATAGATGGAGAGAGGAATATAAATCCTTTGCTCAGTAACCACGTAACAACAATTCGCGAAAGACGTCTTGTCACAACACATGCCATTCCCTCCAAGCGAAAATAAGCTCTGAGAGCGGCACATCTCTAACATAAATCACACAACTTTTAGTCACCGCCGCTACCGCCGGCGTCTCGTCTATTGTGGTTCTTACCTCCGCCTCGGTGACTTTGACGGGGTGCTGGAAAATGGTCCATGTGACCACCTCGTAGCAGCCGGGAGTGGTCAGAGAGCCCTCGTAGCGGTAGAAGTCGTTGGTGTTGAGCGGCATGAGCTCCTGCAGCCGCGGCGGGTCCACGACGGGCACTGAGCTGCCGCCCTCCGTGATCTGAGCGAGCGCTTCCTCCAGACGGCCGATGGCACGGTTGTTGGCTTCGCTCAACTGCAGACGATAGAGAAAATTTTTTAATAAGTTATTATGGGTCAGTTTTAGAGAGGCGTAATGTAAAATGTCCGACAAGTGAGTTGTTGGTCAGTTGTAGATCGAGTAAACCGAGCGTGATCCGTGAGAGTGAGATTTTGATGAATGCACCATGTCAAATACGTTCCATTGTTTGATAGGGATGCTTGTTATGCCCCGCTACTTTGTCATGACGGTGGGGTGAATGGCCTTTGCAGAGAAGCATGGAGAAGGCACTTTTTAGGAAATGTCGAAAGTCTTTGTTGCTTGTTTATCTGTTGTGGATTGTAAATCATCGATGGATTTCTAGATACTCTGCAGTAACGGTTCAGACGATGTCACACCTGGCTATAATCTCATGATAACGATAGAAGAAATGGTGTTTGGAGCCCTTCAGTGGCGAAACCGAAACGCTAACAAGACGTGCTGTCGCTCAACAGTCTATACACTGTGGCAGAAGAGCAATGCAACGTTTATCAGCTTTGCTGTGATGCCAGTTTCCGTGATTCTAATCCCAGCTGAATCTTTTATCTGGGCATATGTATGTACCAGTTGTTTTCAATGTTTTCTCCAGCATGATTATCGGAAAGTTAAGTGACGGGGAGTCAGTAGTCTGCCGTGTGGATGTAATTTGGTGGTTTTCAGCCCGCCGCCTCAAATGAGCGGCTGGCTAACTGTAAAAATGGCATGGCTCAGACACACAGGAGTCGGATTACGGCACCCACCTCAAACATAACGGCGAGCACAGCCAGACCATCCTCGTGTTTCAGAGCCTCCTGCAGCTCCTCGTAATCGGTGTTCTTGCAGACCACGTGCATTTCCAGGGGATAGCTGCAATGATGCAAATAATGACCGTCATCGACATGCGACTATTGATTTCATATGGCCGTTATGTTCCATCGTATTTGATGCATTTGTATTCAAGCGTTGCATTGTTCGAAGTTACTTGTTGACAAGATATTTACCGTTACGCTTACATAAATAAACGGCGATTCAGGACCATCCATTGTGACCCCAAGTCTGACCCAACCCGACCAACAACATGTCAAGTGTCCTTGTCACTCTAGAAACTTTAAATACTACAGATACTCTAGATACTCCTCGTGTCTTTATACTCACTGTCTGCCGTTGACGGTATGCTCCGAGCCGGTGGTGCTGTCCAGACCCCAGTGGAAGTGGAATCCAACCACCTCAAAGTTGCCCGGCAGACCACCGCTCCGCACCATGGGTACTTTCCTAGTGGTCATGGTAGCTCCGGCTGAAAGGGAAGTGGAAGTCTATCAGTCTGAGGTCGTCAGGCAACAGCAAACAGGCCGTGACGGTACATACCAGAGACGCTGATGCTGTGACGTTTTATCAGTCACGACCACAGCTTTCGGCGATGCACCTTCGCTTAAGGCGAAAAGGTCAAGCACCAAGCAGGTATAAAGGCATGTCTAGACAGAACGCTTTATTATAGACTTGACAATAATGTGACTTGGGTCGGAGAAGGAGCGGGAACAAGCCCAATGCGGTGAGACTTTAATGGTGAATCATATAACTGCCAGTCGATCTATGACTTCTTCGTAACTTTAGATTAGTGAGAGAAGAAGCAATCGATGCCGTAAGCCATTGACGTCTCTGCCAGTACATCGACGTAGTTCAGTGACGTTTCTGAGAAAATTTACCGGGCCAAGGCGAATGTGTGGTTTCGCTCTTCAAGATTCACGTCATACAGTAGGTACTAATAAGAGAAAATCGATACTAAACCAAACGGATTAACGGAAGACTGCCGTCACTAGGAGACGCGTTTTTTTTTTAAGCGTTTGTTTGGTTTTATCATTGATTTAGCTGGCTGCGTTAAAGAAAATTGAGGAAGAGCGGTAGCCTAATATATATTCAAGAGCACTGCCTAAAATTTGCTTGCGATGCTATTTGCAGTACATGTCAACGATTTGAATGTATTATCGGTAGAAATAAGTTTTTTGCCTGTTGGACAAATTATGATTCGTGGTTACATACATTTTTCCGTGATAAGCTGAATACGTCAATAGCATTCGCCATTCATTTTTAGATGTTAAGCTGCATTACTGCAACTGACACGAAAAAAACGCTTTGAAATGATTCAACCAGTGAGCCTTGTAGCTGAATCCATCCAATCCCTCTCAGTCAAACCTCAGGACTGACTGACGTCTCTTTCGTCCTGTGACTACCGTTCCTTGTATTACCCACTACATCGACGTATGACAGTCGGATCCTTACATTCCAGGCACTTCACTGTCTAGCAGGCCAGCGTCTAGCGGGAGGTGAGCACCGGTGAGAGGCCGGTGAGAAGTCGGCGGTGATAGTGGGCTACTCACCGCTGTGATAGTTGTTGGTTAGGTTCATGGTGAGCGGAATCTCGTCAAAGTGGTAGAACTCGAGTGGCTTCATGCGTTTGCGGACCGTGCTGCTGGTTTCGATGGCGATTGGCGACTGCCGGTGGCGGTCGCAGTTCTTGAAGCCGAGATCAGCCCAATGGTCCGGTCCTGAAACGGAGCACACAACATCGCTAGATAAATGTGCCTAGATTGCCAATACAGTAGGCAAATAGCGTTTAAAAAAAGCGTGTACCAATAGCGAAATAAACAAACTATTTCAGCTTGTAACACTAACTGGTCGCGATCGCCCATTGTTACTTCGCTGAGGTTTATCCGTCCAGCGTCATATAATATGTTGCCCATGACCAGATTTCAGTAAGTTACACGCGATTATATAGTCATTTCACACCTGGAAGGTGATCCTATATCACGCTTGGCCAGACCATCCCAACATTGGTGCGTGGCTTGCATGATATCAAAGAAGCCATCATATAACTTTCGTTTCCAAATATTTGGGTGTGACGATTCATGATGAAATGTAATAGGTATATTATGTCGTGTAGATACGGAAAATTTGATTGTTCATTTTTTAAAAGCATTTTGTCTCTGCACGCGACTTCCATGCTGATACATATGGTAAAAACTAAAAAGAGTTTTACTCACCGAGTTCTCCTTCGTACGTCCACGATTCATGACCTGGAAATAAAAAAGACGAATATGTATAAGAGGATGGCAGTGTCATAAAACGATTGATACAAAATGTTACAGACGCTTTCTATATATTATATGTATGTATATAACAGGAAACTTTAAACAGGCGATGCTAGCATAAAAACTCCCAAGGCTGGGCGAAATCAGTGGACGGGCACAATAAGCGGAGGGCATGGAAACTCCGCCGGCACTGGACGGGAAAGGCGCACACTTTTTAACCCACAATGAAAGGGAGGACGGATGCGAGCGGTAACACCGAGTAGTTACACGGTATACTCGACGACAATGAGCAAAAATACACCGGGTTTGTGATAATAGCTCCTCTATGACTACATAAAAAGTGTGGGGTTACGACAGAAGGTTGTTTGATTAGATTGGACACAGGACTGAGGCCATGGAAGAACCTGTAAGTATGTATATGGGCCTTATTGATAACGCATTGCCGTTGGATTGATTCAACTGCTTTTAGGAATTCGATGCGGTACCATGGCGGCTCTATGAATGCATTATTTTGGAACATTTCAAGCGAAGACACCGGAATCTTCTATGCATATGCCACTGAATCCCCTTTGATCTACTTATGTGTTTTAGCGTCGTAATTTGTTATGAATTGCGAACATTTGTGAGGGCTAAGCCAAAATAATTTCCTGTACTGACAACTACGATACTGCATTTACGCACAATGATCAGATATTCAAAGACTGCGCTCAAACGTCAAACACTACTCAAAACTTTATGAGAGGCTTTCTCGGTAGCTGTTTGACATGCATTGCTTCTTGCGCGGATTCAAAACAAGTATTATTCGCAAAACCGATGATTCGGGAGACGTTAACATTCTGCTGTTATTTCACGGTAATCTTAAATGCATCGATTTGGTGACTTCTGCCTTTTAGCTGGATATATGAACCTTTGAGCTCACGGTGAATATCACCTAGAGTGATTTCTAACGATGAAATTGTTAAATACGCGAAAGTGGAAATCCTTCAAATCCGTGATAACTCTATAATTGAATGTAAACACTAAAATGTGTGCCATCATGCCGAGTTTCCCCGGCTCTCGAGCTGTTTATCCATTTATCCACTCTGATATCAAGCACCGGTGTGTGGGCGGAGACAAGTGTCCGATATCACCGCCTTCCGTCGGTATCAGAGTCCGAATGCGCCCCATCCACCGCGGTCACATCACTCACTCTCCCCATCTCCGACTTCTCTGAAATCTCCACTGACCGGCGAGTACGAGTGTGACGGCGCTGAGCACCAGCAGGACAATCTGCAGCGGACGAGCCATGGTCGGCTGAGCTGGGCTGGCTGGGCTCTGACAGGAGTGCGATGAGGGAGCTCGGGACGAGCCACACCGTCCGGCCTCCACTGCACCGCGACACTGGCCGCCCGCCGACGCCGGCTCCCTATCAAATCCGCGCCGGTCACGTGGCCGCCCGCCGTCGTCACCGCCTCCGACGCCACCGGCGGCGCGATGCCCTTCCGGGAGTTCCCGCCGGCGAGGGGGTCAGGTGCCCCCAGGGGCTGGTGGCTGAGTAGTCACCACTTCCCCAAAAGGTCGGGAAGCGACCGGTATGCGTAAAGGGATGAGCTCAGCCGACGGCTGATGCAGACTGAAGGAAAAATGGAGGTCTGATCTCAAAGGAATGGCCCAGTGTTATGTCAAGGCATCGTAACTACACTGCCATTGTGACATAATCTACAGTGACGGTTCTCTATGTCTGGTTATTATGTCATATGACTTAACATAACCATGTCGGGTCATAGTGATACAATTCGTCTGCTCAGCGACTCATCGTCACAGTTACCTAGTCAAAGGCGGAAGGAAGCTGAAATGTGTGTCAAACGCCAGGTTTTCTATGCCTAAGGAAAAGAGAGCATGATGCTTGTTTGATGATTGCCGTGGTAGTGGAAGGTGATTTACCGCTCTTGCATAACAGTAAGCGTCTATATGTGCATAAAGTAAAAAGTTCGGATCATATCAGAGCTAACTGTTGTCCTGGCCTTCTGCACTACGTGATGAGAGAACATTGTAGGTTGTACATTGTGATGAGTAACATTGTAGGAGAACTCCTAATATTATAACGCATTTGTACCAGCACTAATACCTATTAATCAGTATTGATATTGGTGCAGATTTGGTGCAGATTTGGCCAAGTTAACTTCAGAGTGTTTCTTAAAAGTTATCAGTTTGAGATGCACGGACGCTTATTTGTATACCTCTTTTTTAATTATCAGACATTAATTTCGATTAACCCGCGCGGGGCTGGGGTCTCCAGCCGAACGCGCGGGGCTGGGGGGGTTAAATTTGACCCCCCCTGTTATCTCCCGAACTAATGGTCCGATTTGGAAAATTCAAACGCCAATCGAAAGAACTCATCACGAACAACTAAAAAAAGGTACTTAATTTAAAGTTTGAGGTCAAGGTCAAGGTCAGGTCAAGGGTACAAATTGCAAGTTTCTACAGTATCGGCCTTGCACCGTAGTTGCCGAAGAATGGAGTCATGGACTGAGACTGATTGCCCAAAACGTGTTCTTAGGCTACCAAGACAATATTCGTTGCATACAATATCATTCAGAGGTCAAGGTCAAGGTCAGGTCAGGTCAGGTCACCAAAAACAAAATATAGAAAAGGACATGTGCGACACATGTTTTATGGGTCATTTTATTCATAGAATTCAATAGGCACACTCAATAGGTGATATGGACCACATCTGGATGAATTTCAGGTCGAGGTCAGGTCAAGGTCAGGTCAAGTGAGGTCAAATTTCGAAGTTGGTTGTTAAGGCCTAAAAAGGTGTCTATCTGGTGCAGTTTTTCACGGCGAATCGAATGGTGCTATTTTTGTTTCCGTACGAGGTCTAGAACTTCCAGATTTTTTTTAAAAAAAATTGTTTGTCGTGACGTCATAATATTTTGAATAACTCCAATATTTTTGAACCGATTCTTCTGAAAATTGGTATGTAGGTGCATATGGACCACTTCTCTGACATATATTCCGTTTTTTTATACACGCAAAATTTTGGATTTTATAATTATTTTCCAAAAAAGTCAGTTTTTTGAGAAAAAAATGGGCCAAAATCAAAAATTTTCAAAATACCGAGATAGCCATTTGATAGACAAAGTAGAATCACGTATAACCTTTTTTGTTACGTCTTCATTCCCTTAACCCGCGACCGCCTGGGGGGTCGGATCCGACCCCCCCCCCCCTCCGTTTTTTCCTGAATAACTCATGAACCGCTTGCGCTATCAACTTGAAACTTAGCATACCTTCTCCCCCATCAATTTGACGTCTCCTGTGCAATTTTTAAGAAAAAATTTTGAATTTGTTTAGATATATCGATTTTAGTGATGTAACTACATGGCGTTTTCAGTCAAAAAATGGTAAGTGTTTAAAAAATCGCCAAAAATCGAGGTTTTAAGTAAATTGCAAATTAAGGACAAGAAAAGACGCAGCTCAACGAGTTCTTTAAAATGGCTGTCTCGGATTTTCCATAAAATGCGTTTTTCACCCCTAAAAATTCAAAAAACTATATTTTTCGGAAAACAGCTAATAAAATCCAAAATTTTGAGAATTTCCAAAAAACCGGAATATATGTTATAGAGCTCTATTTGAACATTAGATGTCCCAAGTTTCAACTTTCTATCTTGATTTTTGACCCCCAAATTGTAAAAAATAGCTCCAACATGCATAGGGCATGGTGACGTCATAAGCATTTTCGCGAATTAGAGGCACTTCTGAACATCGCATGTGAAAACAAATAGCACCACTAGATTCCTGGGACAAAGGTGGTCTAGAAAAGTGCATTTTTATGTCAAAAATAAAAAGTTGAAAAATTGACTTTTTTTCTTAGCCCTCGTTTAGTTGTGTATGGTATAAACGATATTTTATGCTTTCAATGCACACTTATCACCAGCACAGTGACTTGGGGTCACATATAACCATTACCATCGGATTTGGCGTGAAAAATAAGCCATAAAACATGTGTCGCACGCCCATGTAGCAGAAAGTGAAAACCGTGACCTTTCGTGACCTGACCTGACCTTGACCCGTACTTAGTATGACCCCTATACGCACATGGTACCTTCACTAGGTCTTTGAGGTCATTTGTGGTGAGTTTCAAGCAGCAGCTATCGATTCCGCTGTCCGTAAGCCTAATCATGCAAAACCCCTGAATTTGACCTTTGACCTGACCTTGACCCGAAAGTTGACCTCAATCTTAAAATCTTAAGGGTGCTTTGGGAAGGTCTCGTAGAGACCTTTCGAACGCCGCCTCGCGGGGCTCGATACGACCATTGGTTCTCGAGATAACAGGGGGGGGGTCGGATCCGACCCCCCCCAGGCTGTCGTGGGTACGGAAATAGCCCAGGCGGTGCCGGGTTAACAATGAAGATGCTAGCGGCGTTTGAAATTTTGCCGTTTTTTGAGGCGAAAATGGCTAACATGACGTCACTTAAACGTCATTTTCTCAAAAATTTTCCGACAGATTTCGCTCAAATTTTCAGGGAACGTGTCAAATTGATGTAAGTAAAGGTACTGAAAGTTTGGCGGCGCTGCGCGCCACCGTTTTTGAGATATTGCAAAAATTCGCAAGGGGGGGGGGTAAAATTTACCCCCCAGCCCCGCGCGGGTTAAAGCACTAAAACAAAGTCATGATACGAAGACATTTATTGTAAAAAGATGTGGTGAAGATTCGGTCAACTTAGGTGCATTCGCCAGGTAGCCCGTCTTGAAAACGGCTATTCTACGATATCACTGAACACGGATTAAATGAGCTCAAAATACATGAGGTCAGAGTTGTAACAATATACACTAAGTAAACATGTCTTATTTCTAAAAAACATTTTTACTCCAAATTTTGTGATTATTGCCTGGGATCAAGTGCCTAATATAAAAAATGAGCAGCTTATTCATTCCATAAAAGATGCGTCATGGTATTGTACCGAAAAGTGTACAAAAAAGGAAGCCTCCAATTTGAAATAAAACACAATTTTAATGTTCATGACACACCCATAAGTCAATCATATGGCCTTACTCGAAACTGAGGCTAAGGACGTTGTCTGGTATGTACACTTAGAAGGAGAATTGAATTAACCCTCGCCGGACCTATTGGTTTTTTAGGTATGTACATACGCGCCGGCCGAGGCGGAGGCTGGTACGACCTCCCCCCGCCGTTTCGCCCCTGATGGAGCTAGAGCGTCGCGGAAAAAAACAATCGTGTGCACCGTTACGAGACGCAGCGAATGATACCAGATTCAAAGGTATCAGGTCAACCGATGACCTCTGAGGTCAGGTCAAGTGGCCCAACGTACGAGCTCGGTTTCTGACAAATAACTTCGCATAAAATGGCCGCAGAGCCGCGATTTTGACAGCATCGTGTTTGCCCTGCTCAGGCCCGTTAAGTGGTATACTTTTTGTTTGGGTGAGGTCAACTTGAGGTGTTGACCTCGGGTCACGGTCAGGTCAGAGCCCCCATGTCACGAACTTGGTCAAAGGAGGTCATGTCGCACATCATTCGATTTGGCAGGTCTTCCCGAGTCCATTGGTGTCTTTCCTGACTCGCTAACTCAATGTGATCAGGAGTTATTGACGAAAAACTCTCCTGACCAAAGTAATGTCATAAATGACGTCAAGAAAGGTCAACAATGCAAAAGTGAAGCATCAAAATTTGCGAGGAGTGCAAGAAATCACGGTTCCGTGTGGTTGATATAGTTTGGGATCGTTCCCGGCACCAAAATAGCAGTTTTCATTTTTCCCCGTTGACTTAGGTAGGTATAATGGTGAGGTCACGGAACTGACATGACCTCATGTGGCCTTTAGGAAAAATCCGAGATGTTCAAGTTATGAGACCTCTAATGGATACTAGGTCCTGTAAGTTTCATCTCCATGTGAAAGCTCTTCTGGCACAGAAGGCGTTGCAAAGTTGCGACATCTGAAGACCGTGCAGAGGTTCACTTATGACGTCATAGGTTAGTGACCTGACCTGACCTGAAAATGCGGTCTGTGTCAAAAGATCCGGCTTGAATCAAAGACTAGGGCCACCAAATTTCACCTATCCATCGCCAGCGTGTTCGGAGCTATCGCGAAAAGCCCTATGGGAGGCGGCACCCGCCCCCCTCGGCCGGCGAGTGTTAAAACCCTCGCCGGCCGAGGGGGGGCGGGTGCCGCCCCCCCCATAGGGTTTTTTCGCGATAGCTCCGAACACGCTGGGGATATAGAGCTGAAACTTGGCATACCTGACCTTTGATTCAATCCGGATCTTTTGACACCAACCGCATTTTTGGGTCAGGTCAGGTCACTGACCTATGACGTCATAAGTGAACCTCTGCACGGTCTTCAGATGTCGCAACTTCGCAACGCCCTCACTGCCAGAGGAGATGTCACAGGGAAATGAAACTTGCAGGATCTAG